ACACACACACACACACACACACACACACACACACACAAGTACATTCTGTATGATCCCATTTATATAAAGTTCTGGAAAAAGATCAGTGATGAGGGTAGTAAGGGTAGTGGGAAGGAGAGATTACAAAAGGGGACAAGGAGACTTAAGGGGCTCCTTATCTTGATTGTGGTAATGATTTCATGGATATAAACATTTGTCAAAATTTATCAAATTGTATACATTAAAGAGGTATGTGGTGGTATATCATTTCAGTTTTAATTTGCATTTCCCTAAAGACTAATGAGGCATTGGTAGGTATTTGATTATATAGCTCTGGAGGCCCTGAGAGAGAGCCGGGCTGGACTCATTTGGAGTCATTGTATTAGGGTGGCTGAATCTGTAAATTAGAGTTGATCCTTCAGGGAGAACATGAGTCATGGGGAATGACGAGACCTCAGGCCAAGGGACAAAGAAGTAAGCATTGTTCTGCGAGGAGGAATCCTAGGGCTTGTTGATATCAAGAAGGCAGCAATGGCTAAGACTTAGGAGAGATTTTTGGGGTAGGTGATGGTGAACCTACTTTCTGAGCCTTTGTTCTAAAGTCTAAAGGAGCTCTGAATCTCACTGGGGGAAAGCCCCATAAATAAGCTTTGAGACCTGGTGGGCTAGGCATTTTCCTGGGGCAAGTAACAGGTAGGGAACACTGACTGCTCACAAAGTTTATTTCCTGATCCCAGGGAACCCCGGCCAGGCAGTCTCTGAGAGCAAGACTTGCCATGACAAAATTCCCAGCAGGTATGAGGCAGCCCTTACCTTGTGCCCACTGAGGGATATGTAAGGGCTGGTACCCTTCTGAGAACAAGAACATGACTTTATTGGCTGTGGCCCCAAAGGCGATTCCATAAGACCATCGGTTACTAAAGGTGCCCACAAAGTCCAGAGGTCTGTGAACAAGAGAAACAGCTTGTGAGGCCAGAGAGTGGCTCATTCCCACCAATAGCCTCCAAAATAGCAACCCCACCCTGAGGCGGGATTATCGGGTAGCAAATTGTTCATTTCAGCTGACATTGTCTGAGGCCCTCGGTGCCAATTCTAGGTGTAGGCATGGATTCAGGGTACTGAGGTGAGGAAGACAAAAAATCTTTGCCCTTGAGGAGCCTTAGGGGAAAGGGTGTGGGGAGGGGGACACAAGCAAGGACACCAATAGCCATGACAACAAAAAAAATGGGATGGGTTTCATTTATGAGAGACACAAGCAGTATGTCTTGAGAGATCAAAATGAGGAGTATGTCCTAAACAGGCTTGGGGAGCCTGCCCCATACCCGGCCCCTGTGAGAGTTCCAATATCCCTGGGAAGGTCTGGGACTCATTGGCTGTGCTGGTTCCACGCAAGCGTCCCTTCCTGGCCACAGCTGATTGGACCAGGGGTGACCACCTGACTTTGGATAAGCCAATCAGACGCCCGGTCTCATATAAGGGTTTCACACCCTGAGGACATGAGCCAGTTAGCTGTTAAAATTCTGTTCTGGAAAATCATGGCAAGTTGGAATCAGAGTCAGCGCTAGAGGCAAGTGGAGATTTTAGGGAAGCAGAAATCCTAAGTCATATTATAAAGTCAGACAGCAGAGAGGACAATAGTAAAGTGGTGCTGAGGGGCTCCTGTGACACAAGGAGGCACAAATAAAATCAGTCTCCCAGAGATGCCCATCTCAAAGTTCCAGTTACCATGAGGCCGGCCTTGCCAGTGAAATCTCTGTAACTTTACAAAAATCCTTTCTTTTCCTTTTACATAAACAAACTTTACAGGATAGCTGTTTCTTCTTCTGACCAAAATACTTTGTCTACATCAAAGTAAGCAATCACATTTGGAAAGAAGAGAATACTTTCCCATTGAAATGCCATCTGATGTGGCTTTGATGAAAACTCAGGATGGCACTGGGGAGCTACACGTGGAGGTAGGGATCTGGAGGCAGGATCTGGATCTCACCTCATACCCCCTTAGTCTTGCTCATCTTCACTTTCAAGGCTCAGCTCAAGGAGCACCTCTTCCAGGAAGTCCCCGCCCCTGCCATTACTCTGACCACTTCCAGCAGGCCCACCTAGCTCCTGCCTTGCTGTGTCCCCCAAGCACTAAGTGGGCATGTCCGTGTTTTAGTATGCCCCTCTGCATTGTTGCTTGTCTAGGAAACTACAAGCTTCAAGGGGTGGGGACCTAGCACAGAGCCTTGAAAAGAGTAGGTGCTCACTGCATGTTCATGGACACCCATTTTGTTGAAGTGACCTGCATTCAATCAGTCCTCCCTGTAGTGCCTCAGAAATAAGTGAGACTGTTTATGTATCTTTAAACAGATGGCAAGCCCTGCTCTGCTCATGTCACAGAGACACCATGGGCGGCAAATGAAGGGCTGCTTGACAAACGGTGGTATGCCACACACATGTGAGGGGCTTTTAATGAGTGAGGGGGGTGGGCTGGAACTACTCAGAAAAGCAGGGGTTTTGATGGGAAGGTGGCCAGGGAGCAAGCGAGTGGTGCCATTGTCAACTGAATTCAAAGCAGTTTGACATGACCCATACAGAACTCCCACTTCTTAAGAAGCCCTGCACCAGGCCCTGAAAGTCAAATGCCCAGGGCAGAGTCTGCCTCTGTGTCCCAACCAGTGTGGCTCAGACCTGGCAGTTTGGGAGAGGCTGACCCCTCCCAGGTGATATCCAGGATGAGTCTGCTACTCAGAACTGGTACAGGCCGTCCCTGGACATTGCAGGTGGATTTGTCACCCTGAAGCCCTAGGTCACCGCTAGCCTTGGTCCTGACACCGTGGTTTCCTCTCCCTTCTCCAGAGCCCAAGGCTGAGACTTGAACAGGTTTACACACATGAGCCTGCTTAGGCTATTGTGCAGGGGAAATGAGAGTAAATAGGAACCAGACCTCAGTTAAAGCTCTTGTCACCTATTAGCTGTGTGGACTTGGGCACGTCACTCAACCTCTCTGGGCCTGAGTTTGTTCATCCATTACATGAGGATAACAACCTCCAGCATTCTACGCTGGCAAGAGTGTTCATCCAAGTAATGCAGGCAAAGCAAATGGTCCAGTGCCTGGGTCACAGTCACCATGTGATAACTGCTATATGCATTATGATCATGATTATCATCAATCATTGAAAGTGAGGGGGCGGAGATACGAGCAATTAGAGCTTAAGAAAAAATGTGAGAAGGGGTGCACAGACTCAGAATGGCAGAGCCAGAAACCAGCCCTGAAGGCACCTGGTCCAGCGGGACCTCCTGGTGCCATGCCAGCATGAACGTTTGCTGCTGCCAGTGGCCGACCGAGAACTCTCTTCCTCCCGCTTCCTAAGGCAGCCATAGTGCGGACTTTGGGAAGGCTTTTTCCATAGTGAGCTGAACCTCCTTGAGACGTTTTAATCATATTTGGGCAGCCGTGGGTGCTGAGGCTGCAATGGCTTGGATGTCAATTCTGAACCCCCAGAGCTTGGTTGGGGTGAGGCAGGGAGGGGAAGGAGCGGTGGAGATGAGGCAAGGCTGGGGAGGTAATGGGGTGTTATCCTGGCCTTATAATAGGTGTTGGCCCCAAATACAGGGTGCCCCAAGCTGTAGAGATCAGCCTTAGCTCAACTCACATGATGATTCCAAAGCGGTTCCCCAGGAGGTGAGAAGTATCATCTCTCTGCTTACAGTGCTCTCGTCTTTGGAGAAAGGACAAGACCAAAATGATGAAAAGCTACAGGAAGAGAAGATGAGAACGTCAGTGGGCCCTCCCTGAAGGAGGATGTGTGGGTTAGCAGAGGGCTCAGAGTGTCTGTGGCTCCTCAGAGCCCAGAGTCAGGGAGCTAGCTGCACACGCCCTTGAGCTTCCAGAATGCTTTGTACTGAGCTTTCCTCTCTGTTGCCCTGAACAGGTTCAAATTTAGTCTCTCTCACATATTGACTAGAAGAGAGACCCAGCTTCTCCAAGCCTCAGTTTCCTCACCTGTGAAAAGGAGATAACTGTCACACTGCGAATCCTTCTTTCCTTTTTGCTTTTTGAGAATTCAATCATATTCTCAGTCACTTGATGCCCTTTTTCTCTTCCTTTTACTAGAAACTTCCTGAGAACTGTCTACACTTGCTGCCTCTATTTCCTCACCTCTCATTGCTCTTCAACCCCCTAACCTGGCTTCTCCTTCCCATCCATGGAAAGAGCTATGGCCAAAGTCAAAAACTACCATGAATCCACTGGAAACTTCAAGCCCAAATCTGGCTTGATCTCTCAGCCACATTCCAGTGTTGACCACTTCCTCCTCTGAGAAACACCCTGTTCCCTAGGCTTCCATCAACAGTGCTTTTCTGGGTTTTCTCCATTACCTCTCAGTCTCCTCTGCTGGATTATTCTTTATTCCACCACTAAAGTCAGGATTTCCTCATCATTCAGTCCAAGGATCACTCCTCTTATTAGCAGATCCTCTCACCCATGTCCATGCTTTCAATGGCCACCAATGCCCACAAGACTCAGCTTGACTCTTCAGCCCAGACCTTGTCCATGAGCTCCCCAACTATTCATCTAACTATAGAGTTGGCACTTCTTAAATTCAGTATGTCTTAAATGGAACTCACGATTTGCCTCCCTGCCCTGTCTTCATCCACCCCAAACCCAGATCTCTTCTGGTTCTCCTTAACTAGTGAATGACAGACACCGCCATCCTTCTGGCCATGCAAGTTAGAAACCCACGTTGTCCTCAACCCCTCCTCTCCCTAACTACTCTATCCAATGCATTAGCTAGTCCTACTGTCTTACTCCCAAACATCTTGAGCTGACCACCACCCATCCAGGATGAGCTAAAATCTGAACCATCTCCTCTCTGGCCCACCTCCACCTTGATCCCCACAATGCAACAAGAGTGATCATTTCAAAACAGAATACTGATCACCTAAGCTCCACGCTGGAAAACTCCAGTTACTTCCCACTGCACTTAGAATGCAGACACCACTCCTTCACAAAGAGCCCCAGAGGGCTCCACCTGGCCCAGGCCCACTCACCTCCCAGAAAACTCTACCTCAGCTCTCCACTCCAGCCATGCCAGCCCTCTCGGCTCCTCACACTCTCTGTTCCCCTCCTCCACAGGGCCTTTGCACATGCTCTCCTCTCTGCTTGAAAGGCTCTTGACTACATCTTCCAACAGACCTCAGCTGTCATTGCTTCCTTAGAAGAGCCTTTTTTGAATCCCTAAAAAACCAGTGTCCTTGACTCTTCAGCCGTTAAAAGCCTTCCTCTGCCTGTTTTTTGGTGCATAATATAAGAAAGCAAGTCAAGGAAATTCAGTTGATGTCTCTCTGCTGACCTATTCAGGCCCTTTGGGGAGCCTGTGTATGGGAGGGACCCAATTCCCCTCCTCTCTGCTCCTTGCTCTCCTCTGCCTTTACTTACTGATGGGATGAGGGAGTAATGGAGGAAGAGCTCCATGTCCACTGAGCTGACACAGGTGCCATTTAGCTGCCTGGTTCTGAAAAACAGCCAAAAAACACATTCACATCATCAGTCACTGCTGCAGGCATTGACTCATCAGCACTGAGCATCACTGTCAGGAGTTCAGCTTATTCACCACTAAGATCATCTTATCTTGTTTTTTGAAAGAGAGAGAGACAGAGACAGAGACAGAGCCAGAGAGAGGCGAAGGGAGAAGGGGGAGGGCCAGACAGAGAGGGAGAGAAAGAATCCTGACACAGGGCTCGATCTCACAACCCTGGGATCACAACCTGAGCTGAAATCAAGAGTCAGATGCTCAACTGACTGAGCTACCCAGGCACCCCAATCATCTAATCTTTTTATTTGTTATTTTATTTTTTAATTTTTATTTATTTTCGAGAGACAGAGAGAGAGAGGAGACAACAAGTGGGGGAGGGGCAGGGAGAGAGGGAGACACAGAATCCGAAGCAGGCTTCAAAGTTGGACACTCAGCTGACTGAGCCACCCAGGCACCAGGAACAAAAAGGCTTCTATTTTATTCAGAAGTACTTTGATCAATCACATGATCATGCACTATGCAACCAGTATCAGTTTGAGAAGAACATTGACTCAGTGCCTAGTAAACTCTGTTCTTGCTGCTCAGACTCCAATACACCCTGTCTACATGCTCACCGGGACCTGCAGACCTGTGCTGACTCTGTCTCCCACCCCTGCAGCACATCGGCCATCTCCCAGGCCCCATTCCCCTGCCAGCTCCTGCCTTTCCCTCAGAAGTCTCAGGGAAGACCACTCCTCTGGGGAACCCGTGAGCAGGGCACACCCCCACACCGGAGTTCTTTTAAAACCCCAGTATTCCCCAGTTATGTCTAACCATAGGTCTGAAAGACCCTAGAAGCAGTGGAGAAGGTGCAGGAACTCAGGCCATCAGAAATGTGATAGAACTGTAAAGCTCACACTTCTGCTTTTAGGAAGGTACACTGAGAACATGCATCAGTCTCCTCATCCTATATGAAACCCTCAAAATGATAAAGATGTTATTTTTTAATTTTTTTAAGTTTATTTTGAGAGAGAGAGAGAGAAAACACATGAGTGGGGAGAGGCAGAGAGAGAGGGAGAGAGAGAATCCCAAGCAGGCTCCATACTGCCAGCACAGAGCCTGATGCGGGGCTCGAACCCATGAACCGTGAGATCATGATCTCAGCTGAAATCGATAGTCAGAAGCCCAAATGACTGGGCCACCCAGGTGCCCCAAGATGTTATTTTTTTTAAAAAAAAAAAAGAAAGAAAACAGAGATTTTGAAAGCAAGAAGGGTATCTATTGGGGGCACAGAAACTATGGGAAGACCCCGAATGATGGAGAGCAAATGGGACTAAAACAAAGAGAAAAAGAGTGAGTCAATGAGGCCACAGACTGTGGGGCCACACAACGAAAGGTTCTACACTCACAGTGTAACAGGACAGGGTTGTCAGCAGCCTACGGAATGATGAACTGGGGTCTCACAGAGACCCAACTGTCTTCCCACCCCTGCTGACCAGTCAGAGGCAATGGGTGTTGTCCCCAAGAGTAGTGTATATGTGTCAGAGGTGGGGGGGCAGTGCTCTGGATCACAGATGGTCCTGCAAGGGACCAGAAGCTTCAGCTTCCAGACAGCCCCTGAGGCACCCCACCTAGCGGTACCACCTCCATCCCACTGCCCTGACAGCAGCCTTAGGACTAGCCACCCTCCACAAAGCGGGTACCCCAGTGGCCAGCTCAGTCACAAAGATGAGCACACAATCAAGAGCCATCAAACATTTGAGGAAAGATAACACCACAAAAGGGAGTCAAAAATTCAAGAAAGAGGAACTTATCCCTGAGGAGATGAAGTGAATATGGAACCTCTCTGAGGTCATTGCTACAGGAAATCCTGTAGAAGCATAAATCTAGGAGTGCCTGGGTGGCTCAGTTGGTTAAGATGGGACCCTTGATTTCGGCTCAGGTCATGATTCCAATATCATGGGATCGAGCCCTGTATTGGGCTCTGCGTTGAGTGTGGAGCCTGCTTGAGATTCTCTCTCTCTCTCTCTCTCTCTCTCTCTCTCTCTCTCTCCCCCTTTGCCCCTCTCTCCCACTTGTGCTCTCTCTCTCTCTCTCTCAAAATTAATTAAAATTAAAAAAAAATTTTAAAAAGAAGCATAAATCTAGGAGGAAATAGAGGGGTGCAAAAAGGAATAGCAGGCAAAAAAAAAAAAAATCCCTGAGCACAGGATTCTAAGTAAATATACATTTAAATAAATATATATCTTTACACATAGATAACATTCTTAGACACACAAGGACTCAAAAGACCTTCTCTGGAAAAAAACAATGGAGGAAATTCTCAAGAAATAAGAAAGAGGACTCTACAACCGAAGCTGGAGGCATCGCAATCCCAGACTTCAAGATGTATTACAAAGCTGTAATCATCAAGACAGTATGGTACTGGCACAAAAAGAGACACTCAGATCAATGGAACAGAATAGAGATCCCAGAATGGACCCACAAACGTATGGCCAACTAATCTTTAACAAAGCAGGAAAGAATATACAATGGAACAAAGACAGTCTCTTCAGCAAATGGTGCTGGAAAAACTGGACAGCGACATGCATAAGAATGAATCTGAACTACTTTCTTACACCATACACAAAAATAAACTCAAAATGGATTAAAGACCTCAATGTAAGACAGGAAGCCATCAAAATGCTCAAGGAGAAAGCAGGCAAAAAACCTCTTTGACCTCAGCCAAAGCAACTTCTTACTCAACACGTCTCTGGAGGCAAGGGGAAAAAAAGCAAAAATGAACTACTGGGACCTCATCAAAATAAAAACCTTCTGCGCAGCAAAGAAAACAATCAGCAAAACTAAAAGGCAACTGACAGAATGGGAGAAGATATTTGCAAATGACATATAAGATAAAGGGCTAGTATCCAAAAGCTATAAAGAACTTACCAAACTCAACACCCAAAAAAAAATAATCCAGTGAAGAAATGGGCAAAAGACATGAATAGACACTTTTGCAAAGAAGACATTCAGATGGCAAGCCAACACATGAAAAAATGCTCAACATCACTCATCATCAGGGAAATACAGATCAAAACCACAATGAGATACCACCTCACACCTGTCAGAATGGCTAACATTAACAACTCAGGCAACAACAGATGTTGGTGAGGATGAGGAGAAAGAGGATCTCTTTTGCATTGCTGGTGGGAATGCAAACTGGTACAGCCACTCTGGAAAACAGTATGGCAGTTCATCAAAAAACTAAAAATAGAACTACCCTATGACCCAGCAATTGCACTATGAGGTATTTATCCAAGAGATACAGGTGTGCTGTTTCGAAGGGACACATGCACCCCATGTTTATAGCAGCACTATCAACAATAGCCAAATTATGGAAAGAGCCCAAATGGCCATCGACAGATGAATGAATAAAGAAGATGTGGTATATATTACTCAGCAATCAAAAAGAATGAAATCTTACCGTTTGCAACTATGTGGATGGAACTGGAGGGTATTATGCTAAATAAAATTAGTCAGTCAGAAAAAGACAAATGTCATACGACCTCACTCATATGAGGAATTTAAGATACAAAACAGATGAACATAAGGGAAGGGAAGCAAATATAATATAAAAATGGGGGGGGGGACAAAACATAAGAGACTCTTAAATATAGAGAACAAACAGAGGGTTGCTAGAGGGGCTGTGGGGGGGGGGGATGGACTAAATGGGTAAGGGGCTTAAGGAATCTACTCCTGAAATCATTGTTGCACCATATGCTAACTAACTTGGATGTAAGTTTAAAAAATTAATTAATTATTTAATTTTTAAAAAAGAAAGAAAGAAAGGAGTCTAGGAAGAAGAAGGATATAAAGGCAACAGCCAACACAGAAATGAGTAAAATGTCTTGTTAAATATCTAGGTAAGTAGTTATTGTGAAACAAAATGTGTGAAATGCCAATTTGGAGGTAAAATCCCATGGGGGAAGGGGCGAGCTGAGGCCAGGTGTGGATGCAGAGAGAACAGCAGGATCACATTCTCCTGTTTAGCAGGATGATGGAGAAACCTGTTTTCTCTTTCTGGGCTTTATAAGAAAAATGCAGTTCTAGGTAAGTATGTTAAAAGTACACAGGGAATTGCCGGAGGAATACAAATACATTGTAAAACGTACATTAAAGAGTATCTATGAAAAAAAGAAAATTCAATTGCTCCAACAAACTACAGGAAGAGAAAAAAATAAAATTGAGACTAGAAGAGAAATATCACAAGAACAAAAATGTCCAAAGAATAGTAAGCCACTAACAAAGAAGAGATACAAATGCGTGATAAGTTCTTGGGGCGCCTGGGTGGCTCAGTCCGTTAAGCAGCCGACTTCAGCTCAGGTCACGATCTCGTGGTCCGTGAGTTCGAGCCCCGCGTCGGGCTCTGGGCTGATGGCTCAGAGCCTGGAGCCTGTTTCCGATTCTGTGTCTCCCTCTCTCTCTGCCCCTCCCCCGTTCATGCTCTGTCTCTCTCTGTCCCAAAAATAAATAAAACGTTAAAAAAATTAAAAAGAACAAATGCGTGATAAGTTCTTAAAATTGCAACTAGTAATAACAGTAGAAATTAAGATAAAGTGTTGTCTTATCTATTAAATTGAGAATTATTGAAAATACTACCTAGCATTACTGAAGATTAAAACAAGTTAGTATCCATTTCCTGGTAGTAAGAGTATAAACTGGTATAAACATTCTGAGGATTAATTTTGCAACATATACATGAAGAACTTTTCAAAATATGGCAATTCCACATTAAGGAATCCTACTTCTGAAAAATATAAGCTAGGGAAATACTCAGAGAGGTGCCTAAAGATATGTACTAGAATGCCCAGATTCTTGCTCTCTTTCTCTCTCTCTATCCCTCACTCTGTCAATCTCTCTCTTGTGTGTGTATAATGTTTGAAATGTAATATACGCTCATTGTAAAACACTCAAAATGTCTACCAATGTATAAAGTAGTAAATAAAAGTCCCTTCTCCTTCCATAACTATGCGTGTTTATAACCTCTATAATTTTAAGCAAAAACGGGATCTGACTAAACTTGATTTCTTCATTCAATCAAGGAAAGAAAATGCGTTTACTAAAGAAAGGAAATCTCTGTGTGGGTATAACAGGTCCGTCAGACTCCTCTGGATGGGTGACGCCTGTGCAGAGTCACCGCCTGGTCTGCGTCCTGCTGGCAGGGGTAGAGAGTGGGCAGCAGCTGGGAACAGGTGAGCTCCAGGAGGGTGGACAATGCTGCCCTCTAAGGGGCCCCAGCTGCATAGTCTGAAACCCCTGGGCTGCACTTCCTCTCCAGCAGCCACTGCAGTGAGCATATGAAACATACTGCAATCAACCCGAGTTCAAAAGCCACTGAGGCCCCTTCCCTGGTCTTTACTACTCATGCTGCTTCCTGGTGGGTCCAGGGCTGGTGGGGCAGGAATGCTGAAGGGTGGACAACACCTACAGGGCAGCCCCGAGACAAAACCCCCAAACGCAGAAGATCTGCTTTCCACAGATGATGCCTGGGAAATGTGTTTATGATATACCATAAAGTGAAAGAAAATTCTTTCTTGATCCCAAGTTGTGAAGAGTGGTCATCTCTGGGTAGTGGCATTTGAGGTTATTCGACTGACTTTTTATGATTTTTTCTGAATTGCAGTACACAGAGATATGCGGCTTGACAGC